GTGTGCCAACCCCCAGGATGAGCTAATCTTTTATCTTTAGCTTCACTTAGAGTGGTTCCGCATTCTCTTTCTAGAAGATTTATTTATTTACTTGCTTTATTTATTTATTTGCTTTATTTAGGACAGGGCTTATAGGGACTCACTATGTAGATCTGATTTGAAGTGATTCTCCTGTTTTGAGCCTTCCAACTGCTGGGATTACAGGTGCCTGCCACCAGGCCCAGTCTCAGTAGCCATCTCAGCATGCCCCGGGGGCGGGGCTGTCATGGCACGTCGGGGATCAGACCCTAGCCACTGGGCTCTGTCTAAGGAGTCTGAAGGTTTTTAAAGCACAGCTGGGTTTGTTCAGTTTTAGAGAGTGTTTTCCGAGGTGTTGGTCCAGGGTTCTTAATTTTCCATTTCCTTCCTGTGTTGCATCGTGCTGTCGTCAACATTATGAATCATTTTACACAGCCTCTCCCATGCATTTGTTTCTCTTTTGCTCAGTGATTGCTGAAGGATCCCCTATGAGCTCTCTCTGACTGCAGAGTCAGGAGCATCTGAGAAGGTCCCAGTATCTCTGGAGTCTCTGTGAGGTTTCCCTGGCAGATGTATCACTTACTGTCCTTGGGGACAGCTCGTGGGCGAGTGAATGCCAGCACAGCATACACACTGGGCTCTGCCGGGAGGACCCCATCCTGGGAGGAAGGAGTTGCAGCTGTCCTCTGTCTGAGCCTCCTGCTGCAGAGCTGGGCATAGGTCACATCTGGGGGATTCTCGTTTGCAGCCGCCTTCAGGGGAGAGAGGAGAGAGGAGGTTCGTGCTTGGACAGGGGAAGCCTGGGGCCTGGGGAGCGCCGAACCCACCTGAGTGTCCATCGGCCTCCTGGGTGCCAAGCGCTTCACCTGGGCATACGTCACTTCCTGGGGGTCCTCATCCGGTGGGCTCTGCAGCAGGGAGAAAGAGTCAGAGATAGGGTCTCCTTGGTTCCATGCTGGTCTCCTCCACCCAGTTTCCCATATGATGGGCAAAGAAATCCTTTAGAAATTAACCATACTCTGTCCCCCCCTCACGGAGCTTCACGA